TTGAATTCTAAGTCAATGTGACTTTTAAAAGTGATGCAAGGCAGTGTCGCTAATTGTTAATAGATATACACGTAGCTTTCTATAGTAAAAGAAACTGTTAATTGTTGTTAAGTGCCACCGAGTAGGTTCCAACTCATAGAGTCCCTATATAGGGTTTTCCAGGAGTAACCACCAACCTTGCAGTTCAAACTGACCTTGAGTGAAATTGCTTACCCTATGGCACCACACCAAGACTCCAGATAAATCTTTAAATGTACTAAATACTGAAAACCAGAAACCAAACCTGCTGTTGTTGAGTTGATGTTTGACTCGAAGCAACCCTATAACAGGATGCAGAACTGCTCCATAGGTTCTCAAGGGTTGTAAATGTTATCATCCCATAAATGTTATAGTTGTAAGGTTGTGACACATTATCTTGAAAAACTGATCCCTGAAGAAATACTGGGTGTAAAGTTCAGGAAGAAGACATCCCTCACAGTGATGGCAATTAGGAGCTCAGACATAGCAATGTTTGTGAGGCTGGTGCGTGACCAGGCAGTCCTTCGTTCATAGGGTTGCTATGAATCAGAACTAGCTTGTAGACACCTAGTAACACCACCACCAACAACACAAATCTTTATGAAATCAGACTGGCACATCTTTCTCTGCCGAGCTGCTGGTAGGGTCTGTCTGCTGACCTTTTTTTTTTTTTCAGTCATTAGCCAAGTGTTTAGCCATTGCACTACCAGTGTTCCTTACTGACACTTTTGAGCCTTGTTTTACATGTTGTAATGAGGATTTCTACTTACTCGTTTTAACTCAAACTTTCATTAACTGACACGTTATTTAATTTATAAGTAAAATGGCTTTTTACTTTTGCCTCTGAGAACTTTAGCACTTGGCAAATGCTTGTCTTTGCAGAACATCATCTAAAGTTAGAGAAGTGGTGTTTGTTTCTTGCTGCAGAAATCTTAATGCAGTTCATAATTCTCTTGAAGGCTAATCAGGTTGGGTTTTTCTTGATTATTTATTTCAGGTATTTTTCAGGTATGCCAGAATAAGTCCAAAAGTATCGCTGCAAAATCATAGAAACTTTATTACACAAAATCATCAAAATGTGAAGCTATTGTTTCTCTCCATATCTTCCATTAGGTATTTATACATTTCTGAAGATAGTGTTTCCATCTCTCTGAACTTACCCTGAAGAATTCTGCACTCATCAATTTATATCATATCAAAGTAGTAGTTTTGATATCCTTGAGGGACTCAAATTGTGTTCCTTTTCACTGTTCTTTGAATTTTGAGACAAAAAAGTCTGGAGGGGCATAGATCAGGACAGTAGGGAAGATGGGATAAGATGTCCCAAGCAAATTCTTATAGGGCAGCCCTTGCTACCCTTGAGGAGGGTGCATTGACTTCGAGGAAGAAAATTCCTCCCTGCTGCTTCCCTTTGTTGACCTTTTTCTCAACAGCAAAGTTTTCAGTTTTCTTAGAACTTCTTCCAAGTAAGTCCCCGTGATCATCCTGTGTCCTTCAGGAAAATCTATCCAGAGTACCCTTTGGTTGTTGTTAAGTGCCGTGGAGTCAGTTCCACCTCATAGTGACCCTGAATAGGGTTTTGAATCATGTGGGGGCAATTTTTTTTTTTTTTTTTTACCCCTTTGTTGTTGTTAAGTGCCTTTGAGTTGGTTCGCAGCTGGTAGTTTTGAACTGTTGACTTTGCCGTTCACAGACTGATTCGTAACCACTATGCTGCCAGAGCTCCTTTGCAGCCCTTAAAATCAATCACCATAACCTTCTGAACTGACTTTGCTGCCTTGCATTTAATTGGCCCAGCTTATCCTCTTGGAAGCCACTGTTCTGTTTTGACCTTTTTTTGATGGGGCAGGGCATGTGCGAGAGTACCTCAACAAGACTAAGACAAATAAGTGTATTACTGAAAGAACTTGTCTACAACAATCCACTGATCAAAGACATATAGTTAAACACTTTTTTTTTCCTCCCAGATAAACTCATGGATGTGTTTACTGGAACCGTAGTAGCAAGATTTTTTACTTACCCTTGTGTTCCTGACTTAACGTTTTTGTATGAAGTAGAGTTGAGGTTGGATACTTTGTGCCTGTACGTTAAAACGGACTTACAGTATTTATTGGTTTATACTCACATAATCCACCTTCTCAGTCAGTACCTCCTAGAAGTGGCTGTGCATAGTGCATAGTGCAAGTCGATTCCGACCCATAGTGACCCTGTATAGGGTTTTTGAGGAGCAGCTGGTGAGCTTGAACTGCCGACCTTGCAGTTCAAACAGCTTTGCAGTCAGGCACATTAACCCACAGCGCTACACCAGGACTCCTTGATTCTTATATATAAATGTTTAATTGGCAAAGGAAAACGTTTTTATGTTTTTAGTAAGGCATATGACTCAGAAACATAAATTTAAGGAGTATTATGTTTTTAATGTACTTAGTAAATTTCAAAGTTACTGTTTACAGATTTCAACATAAAGATTACCAATTTCAAAACCCATTGCCACTGAGTTAGTTATGACTAGAGTGACCCTGTAGGACAGAGAACTGCCCCTGCCCCAAAGGATTTCCAAGGCTGCAAATCTTTATGGAAGCTGCCTGCTGCCACACTTTTTGTCCTGGTGGAACTGCTAGTGGGTTCAAACCACCCACATTTTAGTTCATGCCTGAGTGCTTAACCACTGTGCCACCAGGGCTTCTTAAAAGAAAGATTATTGTTTTTCTCATCTCATGAGCCAGCTGAATAAAACATTCCACATTGTGGTCATCAGAAAACTGATACAGTCCTGGCTTGGGCAGCCAGCTCTTCCTAGAACACTTGGCAGAGTAAAGAGGATTTGGAAGAGAAGACCTTCTGAGGACTATAAATAATGAACTTATAAGAAGAGGGGGAAGAAAAAATGGCAAGGACACTGCAAATAAAAAGTATTCAAAACTTGCAAATAAAACAAAACCATTTATTTTCATCATTAAAATAAAGTGATTATTGTTGTTAAGTACCGTCTCGTTACTTCCAACTCATAGTGAACTCAGTATAGGGTTTCTGAGGAGTGGCTGGTGGGTTTGAACCACTGGCCTTGCAATTAGAAGTCCATTACTTATCCTACAGTGCCACACCAGGATTAGATTAATAACTGTTCTTTCAAACCTAACTTTCATATACACTAAAGTATAGACTAAACATCGACAAACTTTTCAGTACATCTGTAGCATTTTAAAAATGAAATCTAGTTTGTTTGTTTTTTTAAAGAATGTTTTAGACATGATTAATTCATTTTATTTTTGCTTATAATCACCCTCCGGAGTTATAACAAGAAATCCATTTCAACATACAAGTTTAATTTTCCCGCTTCATTTTAGAATACCTAAACTACCTGCCAGTGTGTGTTTGTGTTTGTGTGTATGTGTGTGTCTTAAATACTTAATTAGACCAGCAGTTGCCTCCCCAGCAGCCTAGCCCTGACTTCCAGGCTTACTCTTGTGCCTATATCATCCCATTTCTGTAAAGTTCCTGACCTGCGACCACAACCTTAGCTGTCCCAGCCCTACCAGTTCTTTGAAATTTTGAAATCTCCTGTATTTCTTCTATGCTTTCCTTCTCTGTATCATACCTCTGGATTATGGTATTTGTTGTGCTATTTCACATCTCATCTTGCAATAACAAGATTGTTTTCTTCTAGGACAGAGAGTATGAAGTCAGCCATAGAGGCAATAAGTATTGACATTGCATTGCCTTAGCTGCTCTTCCTTAGAGTGGGTTGTACAAGGTGGTTTCAAAATGTTCTTGGATACATTCCATTATCTTTCAGTTCCACTTTTCACGAACTTTTTGTAACTCCCTTGTATAACTAGAATGTTTTTGGCTCACTCGGTTTATAACAGTTCAGCTATTCATAATATCTTCTTTCATTATGCTTACTGTCGTGCCAGGAAGGACATCACAATTGAGGATTGCTCAAGTCTTTCATTAACCAGAATCTCTTCATTTCATCTCTTTTCTTGGTACTGGTTTAACTGACACCTCTTAAAACATTTTTATGACTTCTGGTGCTAATGTTCCCTTTGTTCTAAAGTTCTTATGATAATGGAACTGTGCAAGCTAATTCAACAAGGAGACCAGAATGCTATCTCCCAGGCCAGACCTTCCAACACCTTTACAAGGCCCTGGAAGTTCTGTCTGGAAAATGACTGAATGGATAGTTCATTTTTGAACTTATTCCTAGAATTAATTGAAGTATACATTATAGTTACTTGTCCTGGAGGAAGCCAGTGGAAATGTTTTGAGAAAATTGAAATTTAGTGTTAATCTTTGATATGTACAAAAGTTTTATGAAGTGGTTATATAAAATCATTTGATTGACAAAATATTTATTTTCATAAATTGTTAAACCTTACTACTTATAGGACTTTATTTCACACTCCCTTAGAAAAACAAAAGCAAACCCCACCTCCACTGAGTGTATCCAATTCATAGCAGCCCTCCCTGTACAAGATTTCAGAGACTGTAAATCTTTATAGGAACAGACAGCCTTATCTTTCTCCCACTGAGTAGCTGGTGTGTTTGAGGTGCCAACGTTGTGGTGAAGAGCTTAATCCATAGTGCCACCAGGATTCCATTTACTTGATGGAATTAAGCAAAAGCTACATTACCTTCAAGTGGATTCTGACTCAAAACAGCAGAGTAGAACTGCTTGATACTTCCCAAGGCTGTGGAAATCTTTTGGGACACAAACTATCTAATCTTTTTTTTCTGGTGAGTGACAGGTGGATTTGAAGAACCGTCAATCTTATATTTAGCAGCCAAGCATTTTAACCACTGTGCCACCAGGACATCTAGCTGGTTGAATTGGAGTACTAGAATTCAACATACACTAAAAATATCTTTTTCTATGGGAAGAAAAATAAAATTCAGGGGGAACTTACTAGCATCATACACATTCACAGAATGTTTCTCTAAATCTATATTACACCCTTTTCTTTTGTTCTTCTCTTTAGGTAATTGAAGACAATACTGGAGTCCGCCGGGTGGTGGTCACACCCCAGTCTGCTGAGTGTTATCCCCCGAGCTACCCCTCAGCCATGTCTCCAACCCATCACCTTCCCCCCTACATGACTCACCACCCACATTTTATTCATAACTCACACACGGCTTACTACCCACCTGTTACTGGACCTGGAGATATACCGCCTCAGTTTTTCCCTCAGCATCATCTTCCCCCTACACTATATGGCGACCACGGTGAGTAAAATATCTCATCAGGAGCTGTCGAAACTGTTTGCAGCACTTAAGTAGTATAAGAGTGCCCTTAATTTTGACTCTTACTAACACGGTTTCCTTTTCCGTGTTGTGTCTTGTAAGATTACTTTGCAGGTTCCAGCGTTCTGTCCATTTCTCTGTTTTCTCGATTCTCTACCCCTACCCAAGCCTCACAGATAGGCAGTGATCTAACACGTGTTCTCATGTCTTCCAAACATTTTTATATGAGAGTGTCCTGAGGTTGAACTGTATGTAGCATATTCGTGTTTGGCATCCATATGGGTCTAGCTGAATAAGGGAAGTTGAAAAGTATTACATGCCCCATTTCCTACATTAGAGTATTGTGAGATCTTAGTAACCTTTGGGATATATGAATTTTCTGTGTTACAATCTTGATAGAACTAAAAATCCCTCATTGTTGATGTGTTCTCCTGAGCTCTGTGTTTAGTTTATTACTAGCCATTAATGTTGTCACAATTTCACTGGTTATTAAGCAAATACTTACCTTGAAAGGAAAAGCGCCTTAAAGCTGCCTACTCCATATTCTTTCAGTTTGCCCGTGATACTGATTTAGTCTAAATTTCTTCTCTCAAAATGAATACTGAGAAACCAGATGAATGATTGTAAATATTAGACTTTAACTTTTAGGGTTTTAAAAAAGTGATTTGTTTCAGGACCTGGCTGTGAAATTAAAGCTTTTTCCTACTTTAAACATTCATTAAATTTGTCCAGATCGATTACCTCACAAATGCATGTGATACCGTAGATTTTTGAACCAGTTATTATCTCCCTTTGTCTTATGTTCTCACACACACACATACACGCACACACACATTTTTCCATCTATATGTTTAATCTCACATTTTTTTTCTCATTTGAGTGAGTATGTCAAGTAAAATATCCTGTTCTAACTTAGGGACAGAACTTGATTGGTTACTTTTTTCAGTAATCAGAAAGAAATTCAGCATAATTTAGCATAATAAGGTGGCCTTACTTTGGGATATTAGGGAGAGAACAGCAGAAGTATGAAATTAACACTTTAGATTCATGGAGACTTCATCTTTTGTCTAATAATATGATATCAATAAATACTAGGAGTATATATGCCTTGAGAAAACCTGTGTAAAAACTGAAAAGAAAGAAAGAAAGGAAAAAAAAAAACAGTTCATGGTAGTTTTTAAAATGTATTCAATTATTTGACACAATTTACATTTAGTATTTTTTTGTTTTCTGAATCTGAGCTATAATACCTTTGGGAGAAATGTTAACTACTGACTTACCTTTTATTGAGGAGTATCTGATGTGTCTTATTTTAAGTCTGTTAATAGTATTCCAAATAGGTTTTTTGAGTAGTACTCTTTGTTATTTTAGGTAAACATACAATGTGATTTAAATTAAGGTTATAAAAACCTAACCCATTATCATCAAGTCCTTTCTGACTCATAGAATCCCTATAGAACAGCATGGAATTGCTTATTTGAGTTCTTGAGATTATAAATCTTTATGGGAACAGAAAGATAACAACTTTCTCCAACATGGACTTACAAATATGTATACATGTTGTTGTTAAATGCTCTCAGCTGTCTGACATGGAGTGGCTGGTGGGTTTGAACTGCTCACCATATGGTTAGCAGCCCAGTGTTTAACTCATAACACTAGTAGGGCTCCTTCAAATTGCCATTAGTAATATATACAAAAATACAAAAGTCTATTTTATAGTGTATTTTAGTCTAATTTCATTAAAATCACTCAGAAGCAATAGTATACAAGCAAAAGTGCTTTCATTGATTTGAAATTAAAGTAAGCAGTAAAACAAAATCCAATTTTATTTTATAAATAAAACCATTAATATTTTTCACACCTTAGTTCTCACTTAGTGCATTCCTAAAGCGATTTAAACACTCATTTGTCAAATCTTAAAAGTTTAAAAAGTCCCCAAAATGTTTCGAAAGATCTTGGATATTTCCAATCTTAAATATTATATACTGTAATATTTAAACATTTCCCATCTTCCTCGTATGAGGGGGCTTCAAAAGTTTGTGGAGAAATGGAATTAAAAGGTACTGGAATTTTTCCCCGAATTCTTTGAAAAGCCCCCGTGTATATTTTGACATAATTTACTTGGGCATTTTCTAGGAATGGAACTGTATTTGTTTTCCATGTTCTCTTAAGAATTGTGAATGAAAATAAAATAAAAGGGGTAGCTTTACCATTGAGCACTTGTTACATTATATAGGGTAATCATACTTTCCTGGTGTGTCAGGGGCTGTGCTGATTCAGGTCTCTCATCCCAGAAAGGTGATTACTCATACTCTTGTTTCATTCTCAGAAGTGTTAAGAGTTGGAGTTAACTTACATGATCCCTATTTATAGGAAGCCCCTTTTCTTTATGAAGAGTTAGGTAGCATTTGATTACCATTTTAATTGCTGCTCAGGGATAATTTAAAACTTAAAAATTAAATGACTGTCCCCCACCTCGGATCATGAGATTATCTTCAAGCACACAGTTTCTTTTAAGCCACTTAAAAATAATGTGTTAGATGTCAGGTCACACTATACTAGTCAGTTTGTCTTGCAAGCCTTATGGTGACTACCAAAAAGAAGTCTGAGATTACAGTTTACTGTGTCTGGGACCAGGTTGTGGGAATGGTATGTCTTTACCTTTACCATTTCTTCTTGAACGTTTCCCTTAATTTTGTGAGAATTGATTACTTTTAATGGGAATGTTTCACTCATTATTTTAGTAAGTTTTCAAATGTTGGCTCTTCTGCATACCACAAATAACTCCATGTGTTGTGATTGCTAGACTTTTCAATTGGAATACTGTTCTAAAAGTATTAAGTATTCATTTAAGTATTTTGACTTTTAAGTACTTTGCATGTTGAAAAGGACTATTTAATTTGCTCTAATGTTTTGTGGTCGAGTCCTGGTGTGGCACTATAAGATAAGCACTGAACTGCTATTTCAAACCCACCAGCCGCTCCTTGGAAGCCCTATGCTGGGTTTGCTGTGAGTTGAAACGGGCTCAAAGACACAACAATAGCAATGATCTTTTGTGTATTGCAACTACTGAAAACATTTTGACAAAATCAAATTTAGTTATGAATTCAACTAGAATAATCCGTCTTTAAGGACAGTAACCTTATTCATTTTAGTATTCCCCATAATTTCTGGAATATTCAAGAACATTCAATATGATTTTTAATGATTGCTTATTCCTTGATTGACTGCAAATGAATAGGAATATTTTAAACATGGACTTACAAATATGTATATACGTTGTTAAATGCTGTCGAGTCAGTTCCAATTCATACATAGCAACCGTGTATAGGGTTTCTGAGGAGCGGCTGATGGGTTTGAATTGCTCACATTGTGGTTAGCAGCCCAGTGCTTATCCTACAATGCCACACTAGTATTCCTATGTACATATGTTGTTGTTAGAGCTGTCGAGTCAATGCTGACTCATAGCCACCCTGTACAGGCTTTCCAAGGAGCAAGCAGCTGGTGGCTTTGAACCTCCGGCCTTGTGACTCGCAGTCCAGTGCTTATCCTACAGCATCACATCAGCACTTTTTAAAACATAACATTTTATACAGTTCATTGTTGTTAAGTGCCGCCAAGTCAGTTCAGATTCCTAGTGACCCTGTATAGGGTTTCCGAGGAGTGGCTCATGAGTTTGAACTGCTGTTTGAACTAACTTGTGGTTACCAGTCCAGTGCTTATCCTACAGTGCCACACAAGGACTCCATACTGTGTTTAATACTATAAACTTCTTCTTCCAGAATTCAGGTCAATTGACCATTTGCTGATTTGTTATTGAAACTGTAAACTGAGCTTGCATTTGTCATAATCATCTGTTTTAGAAATTATACCACTCTATGGAATGTCAAGCTACATTACCCGAGAAGACCAGTACAGCAAACCTCCGCACAAAAAACTGAAAGACCGCCAGATTGACCGCCAGAACCGCCTCAATAGTCCTCCTTCTATCTACAAAAGTAATTGCACAACTATGTACAATGGCTACGTGAAGGGCCACAGTGGCGGAAGCAGTGGAGGAGGGGGAGGCGGCAGCGGTGGTGGGCCCGGAATAAAGAAAACAGAGCGACGAGCAAGAAGCAGTCCAAAGTCAAACGATTCTGACTTGCAAGGTAATGCCTAAGACATGTACCATAAAGAGTGAATTACCCAGATAGGGGCTCATACAAAAGGAAACATCGTTAACATGGTGGTCAATATTTCTGCTAGATATGGACCTTCTCCCATGTCTGTCTTACTAGAGAAAGAATATTGCTCTTTTGTTACTAATACTTCATGGAAAGTTTTGTATTTTGTTTTGTTTTGTTTTTTAAACTTCATATATATCTTGATGTAATTACTTTCATACTGTAGTGAAATCTGTCATTACATAACAAGCGTATATTTCTGTTTATTTATTGTTTAATGCCACCTTTGACATCTGGAATGAAGTATTCATAGACAAGAATGAGATGAAACAGCTAGTCGTTGCATATAGAGCCGTGAGCTCAGAAGGGCATATATTCTTTTGTTGGATTAATCTTGTGACTACAGATCCGTTGCTTTGGAGAAGCATACGTGTTTTACATGAGGCTTCAGGGTAAGACTTAGAGATGACCTACTTTGATGCCATAGAAGGAAAAACCAAAGGCACTTTATGTAAGCATGTTGTTGTTGTTAAGTGCCATTGAGTCCATTCTGACCCATAGCGACTCTGTATAGGGTTTCCAACGGAGCAGGTGGTGAGCTTGAACCACCAACCTTGCAATTCAAATGACTTTGCAATCTGATGCATTAGTCCACAGCGCCACACCAGGACTCTATGCGGGCATGTAGAAGACTGATTTTAGTGAAGCCAAGGAAGGTAACATTTTGATGAGTTAAGTGAGTCTACAGATAGAAATGAACTGAAAAACAACAACAGGAACAACTGTGAAAGGCAGGATAAGAGCTGATTATCACACTCATTAAACCTACTGCTTCCTGATTGGACCGCATCCAGGCAGAAACTGGTCTGTATGTGAGAATGTTTGTGAATGAAAAAGTTTGATAATGTTGCTAGGTGTGGGATCCCTTTTCAGAAAAAGTGATTTGGCTTTCTGTCTTGGTTTCTGAGAGTCAGAGCAACACCTATGGCTAATGAATGAGTGGGGGACTGAACAGCCCCAATGATTCACCTGAGGGGAGGGGAAGTCAAGGCTTTCTAAACCTCCTGTTGTTATATGCCGTGGAGTCGGTTCCGACTCATAGCGACCCTGTACAGGATTTCCGAAGCTGTTAATCTTTACAGGAGCAGAAAGCCTCATCTTTCTCCCACAGAACAGCTGGTAGTTTCGAACTGCTGACCTTGTGTTTCGCAGCCCAATTCATAACCACTACGCTACCAGAGCTTCTAGGCATGATGTAATCTCTTGTGTACAAGTGATGAGTCCTTTGAAGGTTCCAGAAGCTTCCCTGTTTGACCATGCTCAGGGAAGGACATGGTCTGGTCACACTGTGATCCATTTTAGACCTCTTTCTCTGTCCCTTCATTTGTAGCCTCCTTGACTATATTAAAAATGTTATTGCAGCAAAGGTATCTCTTTGGAGTTCTGTGAGTCCTTCAGTGTATTGTTGAACTCAGAAGCATAGAAGCAAGTGGCCAGCATGAAGTGGAAGTAGTTATGTGTACTCCTTGGCTTGTAGCTGCTATCCTGTGGGCATAGAAGAAAACCCCAGGCTTGGAAGCAGCTAGTCTGAAGTGAAGAAACCCTGGTGAAGTGGTTAAGCACTAACCGAGAGCTCTGCTGTTCGAATTCCCTTGCCTCTTTTTGGGAGATAAGACATGACAGTCAGCCTTCATAACGATTGAACCCTTGGATCCCTATGAGACAGTTCTCTTCTGTCCTGTAGAGTCAGTATGAGATGTAATTGACCACATGGCAATGGATGTGGTTTTTTGGTGTTTAGTTTGCAGTAGGAGAGAGTTGTGTGAACTTCCAAGTTTGCAACTGGTAGGTGCTGACCCAGCTCAAGGTGTCTGGGATAGAAAAAAGCTTTTGTGGATACTAGGGTCTGAACTGAATAGGGGAGGATAGCTGAGATTTCCATAGATTACACCTGGAATGTGGAGTGGGATTTGTTCCCCACCACACAATCAGAGGTGGGTGATCTTAGTATCTCCCTGGACTGGTTTGTACATTTGGTGCTGTGAGTCAGATTACTAGTACCATGACTGCATAATTGAGGGTATTTGATAGTGTAGAGAACATTGACCTCTGTCAGGGCAGAGGGAAATTGGATAAAAACTTATGTTGGCATTTGAGTGAATCATAACATGGGGGAAAAAAGAGTAAAATGAATGAAATGGGAACATTAATTTCTCTGGTAGGTGGATTATGGTGGTGGTGGTTATGTGCCGTGTAGTCGGTCTGACTCATAATAACACCTTATGGGGTTTCTGAGACTATAAATCTTTATGGAAGCAGAAAGCCTCATCTTTCTCCTGCAGAACAGCTCGTAGTTTCGAACTGCTGACCTTGAGATTAGCAGCCAGGCTTGTAACCCCTACACTACCAGAGCTCCTTAATTGGATTATTAGTTCTTTTAATTTAGTCTTTCTAATTTTCTGTTTGTGTGTAAATACACACACATTACTGTATATAATTTTCCATACTATAGGCAGTTATCATATATTACTTTTAGAAATTTTTATTATGTGCAAGAATCATGCATAAAAAGATCCAAGGGTCAGGGGCTTTAAGAGAAGGAGCTATGCCTATCTTAGCACTTTTTGAAGCATGTTGTGTAAGAGAACACACACACAGATAGCAACTGATTTTCCTAAGGAGAATTTAGTCCAGTGGAAAGACAAAAAGAATGTGTACAGCAGTAATCAGAGAGTTTGTGAGCTTGATAAAGTGATCATTTTCCTTTAAGGCTGATGACATAAATACATATAATAGTAGCAGATAAAATGAATTTAAGATTTACAGAGCACAATGATAATCTGTTGTTGTTTGGTGCCATTGAGTCACTTCTGATCCTACGCATGACAGAACAAAACACTGCATGGTTCTGCACGATGTTTGAACCCAGTATCGTTGGGGCTCTTCTTCTTAATTTTTTTTCCTGATCCTACACTTTGAGTAGCATGATGTGCTTCTCTAGGGACTTGTCCCTTCTCATCGTATATCAGAAGTTTGAGAGATGAAGTGTCGCCATCCTGGCTTCCAAGGAGCATTCTGGCTGCCAACACAGAAGATGTAGAGTTAAAGTTAGCACATAAAATCAATGCAGTTATGGATTAATTATGGCAAAAGTAAGCATTCTCCTCACAGGCAGTTATTTCATATCACATGTGCCTAAATATAGGACTCCCGGTGTGGCACTGGACTGCAAACCACAAGTTCAGCAGCTCAAACCTACAAGCAGCTCCTTGGAAAGCCTAAACAGGGTTGCTTTGAGTTGTAACTGAGTCGACAGCACTTAACAGCAACAAATGCCTGAATAGGGCCCTGGTGTGTTGTAGGATAAGCATTGGACTGATAACTGCAAAGACTGCATTTCAAACCCACCAGTTGCTCTTAGAAACCCAATACAGGGTCTTTATGGACCATCGCAATGACATACAACAGCATGTGTAAATATGTAAGCAACTCTTTTTTAATTTCTCATAGCTGTGAAAGGAAATGGGTTTTTATTGAAGTTTATAGTGAAATGTTTGCTAGTGTACATGCAAATGAGGGAGTTTTAAAGTCTTCATGGTGGTAGTTATGTGAGAGTCAGTTCCAACTCATCGCAACCCTGCATAGAGTTTCTGAGGTTGTAAAATCTTTACGGGAGCAGAAAGTCTCATCTTTCTTCCAAGGAATGGCTGGTAGTTTAGAACTGCTGACCCTGAGATTAGCAGCCCAACTCGTAACCACTATTATACTACTGAATATCGTAAGTTTTCCAAGAATGAACCATTGTATACTAATTTGGAATTTGGCCTTTTACTTTATGAGAGAGAGAGATTATAATTATTTCCAGTATTTTAATCTCTCTGCTATTTTGCGTAAAAAGCACGTGGATTTGTTGGATAGCAGCATTTTTGCAGTAGGTACATGCATTTCTTGATGATAAAGACAGGACAAATACATCAGCTTTCATTCAAACTAGTTGTATGGTTTCTTTTCTCATTTTCTTTGCCTCCTCAAAATCATATAAAGTTAAATTTTTCATATGGTTTAACCTTGATAGAAATGCTAATGTGGTTATTTGTACTCTTGGTGGTTTGCACAAGAATAGGATGCACACTTATACATGAGGTTTAGGTTGTCATAGTTTTCTACATTCTACTTGGGTTCAGAGTCCGCATTTCTAGAGGAGTCCAATGGTTGTACCTCGAAATCCTAACTTTTGAGGAAATCTACTTGAATTACTTATCTTTTTATCAATTGAAAAAGACATTATTATTATAATATTTTAAAAGAACTCTTAATTTGTTCCTGGTTCTTCTGATAAAACTATGCACATGTAAACCTTGCAACAATTTTTATAAATCTAAATAAATGTATTTTAAAATGGGGATGAATTACTCTCTTGAGTCCTGATTTTCTCAATTGACTTTACTTCAGAAACACTAGTACAACTTTAAAAATACAGATTCACAGACATATAAAGTCAGACTTCAACCTGGCTTGGTTTCATGGTTGTTTTTTTAAAAGCTCCATTGTAAACGATGGTCAGCTAAGCCAGAAAATGACTGCTCTAAAATTATGGATTTTTATAGTGGTCATGACTCATTAAATTGGACACAGTATGAGACAGGAACGTTACCTATTTTATACACTGTTCTTCCATACTTCCTAGTACTATACCCGGCACATAGTGGGTGCTCAGTAAATACTTGTGGAATGAATCCTGTATTCCTAACAACTTTGTTTTTGTTTTTTTACAATAAGCCTTCTGTTTGAATCCATGCCATCATTGTACCAGTTCCTTTTCCTGGGACAAATTGTTCAAGGAAACTGCTCTGGTACTGCAATCCTTCTTTTCTTCATATAGTTTAGGTGGGACAAAGCTCCACAATGCCTGCAGAGAAATGTAGGATTCCTGCATCTTTGTAATAATTTGCAGATGACAGTGTGATATCAGCAGATCACAGTTA